AAAATCATCCATCAACAGTGATCCTACTGAAACCAGGATTTGTCTTTGTTGGTAAACTCCGAGTCTTCATGTTCATAAATGTAAGAAAACAAGGGGGCTTAAGCCCAAATGCACTGTTACTCTCATCAGCAAGGTGCCCGAGGGGCAACTGAGGGCCCTGAGCCATGAGAGGATGGGGCCATTACACAGTTACTACATTGGGAGTCTGGTGACTAAGCATTTCAGGGTATCTTGAAGTTTAAACACACATTAGCATCCGAAGCACACATTTTAGCTGCCACATAAAATGCTATCTTGTCATTGCTGTTCCTTGCAAAAGCCTTAGACCCTTCTGAATTTTAGATCACTCAAGTTATTCAAAGCCAGAGAGAAATCCCGTAAGGGTATAAGGGACTAGGTAGGATAATGTCTGGTAAAGTCAGAACCAGACAGGCAGCAAGAGTGAATCCAGTGTTTTCAGAGGTTTGGCCATGCTTAGAAGCCATAGCACCAAGAATGGGGCCAAGGCAAGAGAATACAATAAGGCACCGCCCTCGGGCACCGCCCTCGGGCAGCGCTGCGATCGCTGGCAATTTGAACTTTGTGGGCGCTCCCTGATAATGGCCTCTACTCATCACTTGTCTTCCGTGCCCTCATTTGGCTTCGGTGAATCATTCCGTGTTGGGTCATGGAACTCTGTGCTGTGGCAGGAGACTCAGAAGACGGTCTAAAGGCTTTATGGCGGTGTGCCAGCTTCATTTGCCAGCTAATGGTGGACTGTTCTCAGGAAGGCTAATGGGAGTGGCAGAAGGGGGGGCCTGTTCACAAAGGGTTCACAGTTGAGAGGGGTGAGGAGGATGCAACAGTTCCATTCCTTTCAGGTGGGATCAGAGCTCCTTTCCAAGCGACTCTGCCTCACCTCTCACCCTAAAAGGCCCTAGGAACGCATGCTGCATTGCCAGGTGCATTTTCCTACATCCCTCCCTCTCCTGACCCAAAGACTTTACATGTCCACACTGCATATTCAAGTGCATTCCTCAGATCCCTCAACTAATCTAAGTAGCCCAATTGCGTCTGTAGGTTCATTGCCTTTCAAGAAAGGCTCCAGAGGCACACCACCTCAGAGAGCACCCAGAATACACTCTTTCCACCTTCTTCTGGTGTCTGGGTTAGGAAGAAGAGCACATCTGGTATGTGAGTTCTGCCTGTGGGTATGGTCCCCATAGACTCCATATGTTTGAATGTTTTGCCCGTAGGGAGTGGCACTATTAGAAAGTGTGGCCTTGTTGGAGAAAGTGTGTCACTATGGGGGCAGATTGCTGGTCTCATATGCTCAAGCTACACCCAGGGTGGTAGAAGTTCACTTCCTGTTGCCTACAGATCAAGAGGTAGAACTCTCAGCTCCTTCTCCAGCACCATGCCTGTTTGCATGCTGCCACGCTTCCCATCATGATGATAATGGGTAAACCTCTGAACTGTAAGCCACCCCCAATTAAATGTTTTCCTTCATAGGAGTTGCTGTGGTCACTTCACAGCGATAGAAATCCTAATTGAGACACTGCCCAAAGGTAGTTGTGCCTAAAGAGAACATCTTGGTTTCCTCTGCTGGAGTTAATGCTTGAGTGTGGGGAGGTAAGAGGTAGAGGAGGTATTGTGGTATGAAACTTAACTATTTCCTGATAGCTCATATGCTAAAGTCTTGGTTGCCAGCCCGTAAGGCCTATGGGAAGTTGGGGAAGTGTTAGGAGATGGGATGTAGTCTTAGCTAGGATTATTATTGCTGTAGTGAAACACCATGACCAAAGCAATTTGGAGAGGAAAGGGTTTATTTGGCTTATACTTTCATGTCACTGTTCATCATCAAAGGAATTCAGGACAGGAACTCAAACAGGGCAGGAACCTGGAGGCAGAAGATGATGTAGAAGTCATGGGTGGGTACTGCTTACTGGCTTGCTCCTCCTGCTTTCTTATAGAATATAAAACCACTAGTCCAGGGGTGGAACCACCCACAATGGGCTGGGACCTCTCCCATCAATCACTGTTGTAGAATACTTGTTTAAGTATGCAAATATGTACTGCACTTGTCTAACCATGTAAAGATGTGTTGCATCTGTGTATGTTGCAGAATATTTGTTTACCTCTGTAAAGATATGTTGCTGTTTTACCTTGCCTGCCTAAGGTACCGGATTGGTCTAATAACAAGCCGAATGGCCAATAGTGAAGGAAGAGATATAGGCGGAACTTCTGGGCAGGGAGAATAAGTAGGAGGGATTTAGGCTGGACATAGGGGAAAGAAAAGGAGATGCCAGACAGACACAGAGGAAGCAGGAAAGTAGGACACACAGAATGAAAAAAGGGTAAAAAGCCCAGAGGCAATGTAGATGAATAGAAACAGGTTCAATTAAATTAAAAGAACTAGTGAGACAAGCCTAAGCTGAGACTGAGCATTCATAATTAATTAAGTCTCCATGTCTTCATTTGGGAGCTGGATGGCAGCCCAAAGGAAAAAATTCCAACTACAAATCACCAACTAAGAAAACGTTCTACTGGCTTGTCCACAGCCAGATCCCATGGAGGCATTTTTTCTCGGTTGAGATGATGATAGCTTGTATCAAACTGATATAAATCCAGCAGGCACCGATACAGTGAGAGAAAGTTAAATCTCTGGATGTGAGCCTGAGAGGAGTGTAGAGTTCTTTCTCTCTCTTTATTGGTCCCATAAAGTGTGCCACTGAAAGCACAGTGCTCCTCTTGGTTTCCCTGTTGCTAAACAGAATATTCTGACAAAAGCTACATAAGGGAGAAAGGACTCATTATGCTTCACAGTTCTGGGGTACAGTGCATCATGGTGGGGAAGTCAAGGCAGTGGGAACTTGAAGCAGCTGGTCACACGACACCCATCGTCAGGAAGCAGGGAAGTTAGTGCCTGCTGGTACCCGGTGCCATTTTTCCATCCATACAGGTCAGGTACCGGCCAGGAGACAGTGCAACCCACATTCATCAGATCATCTCACCTTAACAGAGTCAGGAAAATGCCCCCCGCAGGTATAGCCAGAGGCCACTCTCCCACTTAACGGGAGCTCTGGCTAGGGATAGGTTCCGTGCAACAGAGCCAAATGACTATGAACAGAAGCCTGTGAAACCATAAGCTGCAACCAACCTTCCTCTTCCAAATTCATTATCTCGGGTGTTTTATTACAATACCGGAGAGCTAACGCAGGAAGGGTAGATGTCATAATTCCCTTCCCCCTGATTTCTAAAGAGGAAGAATCCCAAAGAAGGTGGCTTTGTGGATAAGGGAAGATGAAGGCGTGGGGGTGATTTAGACGGGAGGGTGTAAATCAGAGGAAGAAGGTTTGTAAATTATTCTACGCAGCAAAAAGAAAGAAGACACCGGCGGAGAACCAGCAGAAGCAGGGAGGTCACAGCTGTGCTGTGTCTGTGTGACAACACCCCACCTCCATCTCCCCTGAATTTGCCTGGAAAATGGCCATTACCTGGAAATGCTTTAGGAGTTCTACAGGGTGGGGTGAGAGTGGCGTTTACGAAGCTAAGCTCAAAGAAGAGCCTGTACGTGAGAAAAAGGTAGGAACAAGAAGGGCCTAACAGGCTGGGCCTGGATGGGCCCATGTAGAATGATAAGCAGAAGGTGAGGGGCAGTGTTACGCTTTCATTAATGTTAGTGCCAATGCCATTGTAAGGCTACAGGGCAACTCTATTATAACAGGCCCCAGACCTTAGCACAGCTGACTCCATGATGGAAGCACCATTCAGGCCATAACTCAGCATGTAGACAGCACCACCTGCCAAAATGGAAACCAAGACCTATCTATGGAAGTCCACAGTTCTGGGAAAGTCTCAAAATTTACTAACCTTGCTTTTTCGCTTTTGTAGTTCCTCTTCTGGCTAACTGTTCTTGTTAACTGAAGAATGTCAACACAGGATTTGCGTTTTTGCTTAAAAGCTCACCCTAAGAAAGGCTCAAGGCTACACTGCAATCCTGAGTATACAGTGTAGTCGTTAGCTAATGAAGTGGTTGGCTAATAAAGACTTCCTATTGGCTTAAAACCATGTGGCGGCTACTCCACAATGCCTATACCTCTGAATGATGACGAGAGAGTACAAAGAAGCAGCAGAGGTGGCCTCTGGTCACCACTTCTGTCCCTCTGCTGGTGACCTGTGACTAAAAAGCCCTCTCTGGCGTTAATCTTGGATCAGACAGTTCACAACTGCCTCCAACTGCAGGTCAGGGGAAACTGATGCCCTCTTCTGGACTTTGTGGATACCTGTACACGTATGGAATAGACACACATAGACTTGCACATATCCACATAAGTAAAAATAAAAAATAAATCTTAAAACAATAAGTTTGAGAGGTTATCAACTTGAGAGTAAGGGAACCTTGGAGGGGTTCAAGGGAGGGAAGCTGGGAGGGGCTTGAGGGGAAAGGGCTGTAGGAGGAAACAATGTAATTCTATCTCAATTAAAAACATTAAAACAAACAGTTAAGGGGGGGTGTTTGAAAGGACACTAGATGCTTGGTGTGATGGGTGCTACATGGCTATAAGTAAGACTTGTGCCCAGATATTGGCTTAGTTAGTGGTTCTTCACATGTGGACCCTAGTCTAGAAGCAACATTCTTAGCTGTGGTCTCGGTAGGAATTCTAACACTCAGCTCCCAGATCTACCAAGTGGGATTTCTGGGTGTGGAACTCAGTGTCACAGTGGAATCAGTCCCTAGGAGACCTAGACACATCTCGATGTTTGAGAACAACTGGCTTACAAAATGATGCTCAGTGTTTGTTGGCTTCTGAATCCACTGTAGAGCGGCAGGCCCCCTGGCACAGACTTCAGGGATCTGGGCTGAGTTGGTCTGGGGTAAGCTTCAACATCATGTTTGGCAAGCTCTGCAGATGATTATGGTACCTATCCAAATGTGGGGACCGCCAGCAAAACAGATTAAGAAGAAATGGAACCCCAAACCATAAGTCAATGTTGCTAACAAATTAAACAATGCATTTACAAACAATTGTAGCCTTCTCGAAGAGGCGAAGGAACACATCAGTGCTCACATTAGCCACGGGAGGGAGGCTTTGTACACTCTTTCATCTGAAAGGCCACACCTTGACCCCAGAGAACTCAAGTGAGCCTGGACAGGGGCAGCAGTCCAAGGGATGGGCTGGAGGGACAATGCAGACGGGACACAGATTGTGTGTGCTCTTCCAGGTAAGGACCAGAGCTCAGTTTCTCAGAGTGGTTCTCAGGATCAGTAGGGGGAGGAAGTGGCTTCAGCTGCAGTCACAGCTGGGGCTCCTGAGTTCAGCTGAATCAGTTTGTAGGATTGCAGACCAGGAATCCAGACTGTTAAGGACACCGCAGCTGTGTCTCATGAGGTCGTATTTGAAAACCGCTGGTGGATATGTCTCGGAAAAAGAGCATAGAGGATAACTGGTACCCTTCCCGTCTTAATAAAAGGCAGGGACTGTCAGGCTGAGTCGCCTAGATGGGGAGCAAAGATCATCCACACTTCACACTTCCACCTCAGGAAGAGCAAAGGGTCCTTGGTTGTGAGTGAAGTCACTTACAGACTGCCCATTGCTCTGTACAGGTCAAGAACTTAATGCTTAAGACATGTACTACACAGGATTTCAAGTATATTAAGTTTAACATATCTCTGTAGTGAGAGTGCTTGTCTGAAATTACAGAATGTTCCCAAGAGGGCTGCGAAAGCAAGGAATGCCTAACCAGCAATATACACTAAAATGTCCTGGGGAAATCGCTTGGATGTAGCTCTACACAGCGATGGTTTCCTGTCATGTTTCATTCCCTTGTTTCTTGCTCTTTCTGTTAATCTCATTTTCCTTTCAGTGTCAAGCAGAAAAATTCCTTGAGCAATCATTAAGAAGATGTGAGTGTGTGTTTTGTAGACAAGAGGGGAGAAGGTGTTATTAGAGGGCTTGGAAACTGTGCCAGTGGGCTAGTGGTAATTTGTAGCATTGTAATCCAGGCTGAGGACCCAGGTGGGAGCACCAGAGAGTGTGAGCCCCATCCCCAGGGTCCCCAGAGTGGCCAGTGGGAGGGAGATATTATCTAAGCATTTCCCAGCACTGAACTGAACAGCCCACAAGTTCAATGTCTGTAGGGATTGGACATGTACGGACGACAGTACCTGATGTTCAGAAGAGCCCAGAACCCTTCATTCTTCCTTAAGTAGTTTTGTGTCTACTGCAGTATAGGCTTATGATATCTCTCTGAAAAACCTGCTCCCCAGCCCCCACATCACACGGCTTCATTAAAAGGCAGCTGGCCTTCTGACTTTCATTACAGTCGCTGGTTATTATACCAAAGTACATTAAACACATAAAATGTCTTATTGGAACCTCCAATTAGACATCAAGCCTCATAAAAGAGAATGGAGTGATTACAGAAAAGTGATCTGACACCATTTAAAGTGTTGGAAATAATACTGTGAGGGGAGAATGTGGTGCCTTCTGCTCAGAGAGCTAGAGGCAAAGGTGTGGGTTCTTCGTTAACCATTCTACCTGCGTTTGTCCGAGCTTCTCTACCTGCAAAGCGGGGATCAGTACACCAGGAGACAGTCGCCATCGCCATTGTGCAGAGGCCTGGGTGAGGTGGCTCTTCTCTGTCTAGGCTTGTGGATGAATTCAGAGGAACCACGCAGCTAGTGGTGGCCAAGCACTGGCCAGCTCCCGCGGCGCAGTGCATGGGGGGTCACTGGTTTTCATCACCTCACCTTAGAAACAACAGGAGACCCTGTTAAAAATGCTCATTCTTGGCAGCGGCCTCTGGAGGCTTTAATTCAGTGATATTTGATTGGGCTCAGGAAATTGATTCATATAGGAATTATGTGTTCCAGACACTGTTAAGACCTGAGACAAGTGGACAGACAAGAACAATCCACTCCCAGGGTGTGTGGCCTCTCTGCATGGTGACAGTACAGCTTAGACCAGAAGGCCACACTTTGAGCAACAACTGTCAACTCATGACCAGGTCTCTGTAAACATCATCACATTTCTTCTAAGCATCAATTATTCTTCTCTACTGGGACCTACTTCTTTGCTAAAATCTTCTGGAATCCTTTTATTTGGAAGAAAGCTATTATAAAACAGTGGGATTATCTTGGGATTTCAACAGGTTAGCTTTGTTCTTTCACTCTCTTTTAACACATCATCTGCCCTGGTTTCCTAAGGGGCTTCCTACGAGTCAGACGTGTGTGTGTGTGTGTGTGTGTGTGTGTGTGTGTGTGTGTGTGTGTGTGTGTGTGTGTGTGCTGGCTCTTTGTCTGTGTATGTGTGTGTGCAGTGTGTATACACATAGATGTGTGCTCTTTTAGAGACCAGAGATTGACATTGGGTGTCTTTCTTAGTCATTCACCACCTTATGCTTTGTGACAGGGTCTCTCAATGAACTTGGAGCTCCTAGGTTGTCTAGGCTGACTGTCAAGTAGGTTTTGGGAACCACTTGTCTGCATATGGAAGTCTCATCCCGGCCCCAGACTAGGGTTATAGACCAGCCACCACACCCCAGCTTCTTATTATGTGTGAGGGATCTGAACTTGCTCCTCATGCTTGTAGAGCAGATTTTTTTCTCATCAGAACCATCTCCTAGTCCCTATATCAGAACCTTTAAAGGAACTCAGAAAACATACCTTGTTCTAGGGACTTTGACAACTGGAATCCAGACAGTGAGTGAATTGGACTTTTAACAACCAGGGAACAATGAGCCTGTCTTGTTCTAACTTTAACAATGGGTTAAAAATGAATAAAAGTTTCTCTTGGGCTGAATGTTCTCGAATCGTTTTTATTGATCCTTTCCTTCCTACATTATGTGTCTCCTGGGAGATTTAGCTTTGGCTGGTGGTTCCCACTCCCTGTGGAAGGCTGTGTTTGAGTATGAGTTAATCCAGTTCTCTAAGCCCTTTGATTCATCAATAGAGTCAGTCTAAGGGAGTTTTACAATTTTGGCAATTTCCCTTTCTCTTGCTCCTCTAGGCCTTGTTTTCATGCATGCTTATTTTATATATACACACATGGAGTGTGCAGTTTCATTCAATATTACATTGAAGTATTGTCTAAATTTTATACTCAATTTTTAAATATCCACCTTTAGACAGATTTTTTGTTGTTGTTGTTGTTTTTGGTTTTTCGAGACAGGGTTTCTCTGTATTGTTTTGGAGGCTGGCCTGGAACTCGATTTGTAGACGAGGCTGGCCTCGAACTCACAGAGATCCTCCTGCCTCTGCCTCTCGAGTGCTGGGATTAAAGGCATGCGCCACCAACGCCCAGCTAGACAGATTTTTAAAAGTGAATGAATGAATGAGTGAATGAGTGAATGCACACGTGTCTTTGTGCTGGTGACCGCAGAGTCTAGAGAAGACCGAATCCTTTGAGAGCTGGAGTTACAGGCATTTGTGGGCGCTGGGATCTGAACTCCGGTCCTCTGCAAGAACAGCAGGCATTCTTAACTGCCAAGCTATTTCTCCAGCCCCAGCTGCCACTTTTAATGGCTCTATAACAACCCACAGAATTGCTGTTCCATTGTAACATGGGTAAAGAAGGGGTATTTGAGCTGGTGGCCATGACACGGGAGGGGAGTCACATTACTGTCATTTACAGTGTTCTGGAACACGTAATATTTCGTGAGAGCAGACCGGCCTCAAAGTGTTTCTGACTCCCCTCAGTATCAGTCTCCTGTAATGTTTCTATACGCTTCAGTGGATGCTAAGTTCTGCGAAAGTAAAAAGGAGAGAAGAGACGACACGATTCACCCTTCCAGTAACGGCTGGCCTGGAAAGTAAGGCCTGGGAGCTCTCACACATCAGTGCATGAACACACATGTGCACATACATGTACCTGCACACACACGACTGTGGTTAGAGCCACAGCATACAGGGACCATCATGCCAGTAAAGTGGCGATGAGCGTGCGCTTTGGAAGCCGACCTCACCTCTTACACGCTTGTGCCTTAGCCTGCAAAAATGAAGTCTTCACTGTAACGCTCTCGCACAAGTTTGCTGTGAGATGATACGCACTGTTAGGCATTGAGTATGAAATGTCTCCTACACGCTCATGTGTTGGACCCTTGGCTCCACCTGGTGACACCAGCAGTCACTGGCGTGTGTGTGAGGGGGTGGCTTTGGGGACAGCTGTCCTCCTGGCTCTTCCTCTCTCTGCTTCTCGTCTGCCATGAGTCTGCCATATCACTAGAGTGGGGCTGAGGAACCATGGTGTGAATGCTCGGAAACTCCAAAACCAGGCTGCTTCCTCGGGTATTTTGTCACAGCGAAGAGACAAGTTGCTAATACATGCGTGAACACTATGAACGGGTCTTGGCACACGGGAAATGCCAGGCACAGACTTTCCATTTTTGTTACCTTTCCACCCACTTTTGAAAACAGAGCAGAGGTCAAATGCCAGGACACTTGTTGGACAGCTAGCTGCTCCTTCAGTAATAACTAAGGGCAAGCTTTCCAGCACAATCCTGACCCCACCGCCACCCATTTCCACCACAGAGAAAACAAACGACACTTGGACACGACTTCTAACCAGCCGCAAATCCTGTGGTCCTACATGTGCATTTAAACCCACGAATTAAGGAGAAGTCCCAGGGTGCCAACGCTTGGCTTGACCTCTTACATACGGTTCAGATGATGCCGTCGTTTGGTTGGTGCAAGACTCTCTCACCACAATTAGCAGGTACCAGTCACTCATCACCAGCTACGTGCCGTCCCGCTCGAAGCTCGTCTAGCCTTCCCGTCCGCACACGGGATGGGTATTTCTCTTCTTCCCACTTTACAGGTTTGGGAACTTGGGGCCCAAAGTATAAAATGATTTGCCTATGGCCAAAAGGGCCCAGGATTTAGAGTTGAAATTCAGATCTGGCTGTCTCCCAAGTCTGCTCTTGTTCTAGTACACCCTTTCCTGCTCGTTGCAACACCGGTACAAAGATGAGTCTGCCCGAGAGACGTCATAAGTTGTAAGGCAAACTGGATGAGGGCCACAGTGACTTTACTGAGCTATCCCATGCTTCCCACACACCCAGGCTCAATGCCAAACTCCTAAGCACCCTTTCTCCTCATTCCCACGCCCGCTAACAAAGCATCTAGGCTCCGCCCCTGGCCTAACTTGCATCCTCCAAGCTGCTAATGAACAGAGTGCCGGGTGGTTGACATGGAGAAGGTCAGATAAACCCTACCAGCTCTGGTCCTGCCCGCCTGTCACCTCCCCCTCTGCTCTCATGCCTGGCAACCTCTGGCTTCACTGGGTCTCTGCTGTCAAGTTGTTTCCTCCTTTTTTCGCTCAACAATGGGCTTTGACATTATGAAAGCCCATGACGGAGGACACCTTCCTCTGCTGCTTTGCCCTTAACTCCCAGGTGGCATTGGGAGCAAGACTTCCTGGTTACACTCCTGCAAGCCAGAAGGCACATCTCACCTTTCTGGGTGGGAGCAGGGGGGGGGTTAGACTTGGCAGATGCGTGTGCACAGCTGCTTTCTGGAATGCTGGCCTGGAGGGGTTTGCACTCAAGATCCACACCAAGATACAGGGTTGTTTGGAACCGGTGTTGCGGGTCGAATTGTGCCACAGAACGGTTCCTTATTGCAAACAGGGCAGATGGAAGGAAGTAGTTAGGAGCCGGGTGTCTCAGCCCGTTTTCTGTTGCTACAAGACACTGCCGACGACGTCTGGGCAATTGGTAGAGAAGTTTATTTTGGCCCGTGGTTCTAAGAGCACGGCGCCAATGTTGGAAGACCGCCTTGTGCTGCCTCGTCTCCACGAGCAAGCAAGCGTGTGTGAGAGCTAAGACACCATGAACAGCCTCACTCACCCAAGAATGACCAGACTCTTCCAGAAAAGCGACAAACCCTCTTAATCACCTCCTCCTAAAGGCTGCCGCCACCCCCAATGACAATCAAACACCATCCCGGGTGCTGAGGGCATGAGGCACCGGAAGTGGAGTGGTCCCTACGGCGTGTGTCCTTGAGACCCCGGAAGTTTAGGCACAGCTGCGGACCTCCAGAGGACATGAAGATGAAGGGTTAGAGTGGCGCTTCCCTAAGCCAGAGGTTGCCAGAGACGACCAGCAAACCCCAGGAAGCTAGGGCCAGGGAACCCACCCTGCCGACACCTTAGTGTATGCTCATCCCGTCTCCCGGACCGTGAGAGAGTAAGTTTCCGTCGTGTGAACCAAGTCCCTCGAGCCGCTTTGTTGCACGGATCTAGCGGACTCCTAAGTTACAGAGACGCCCAGCGGCATCATCTGGAAACTCACGAAGGTCATCCAGGTGTGAGGTGAAAGCCGCTGAGACGATGGGAGTGCTTCCTGGAGGGCAGCAGGGAGGCGGCTCACACACAGCCTCCCACCTCAACCCCATCAAAGTCCCACTCGGAGGCCATGGGAGTCTCTGGTTCTGCCAGGGACGAAGGGAAGAGGCGAGATTTTGAGACTCATGTTGCCTCCAGGACAGGGCTCCTCATTCTCACGGGTCTTAGGCACAGGGCTTTTTTCAAGCTTCCTGCATCTGGAAAGTATCTAGTGTAAAGACATGTATGCTGGGTCCATCATTAAATATGTATTTATTATTGATGTATACACTCTCTTCTGGTTTGAAGACTCTTAAGATGAAATGGCTTTTGGGAAGCCAAATGTTGGGTAAAAGCCTGATGTTGGGTAAAGCAGCCTGGCCTCGTGGATTAAAGGAGAGATCTGTCAGGGACTCCTGAGACCTGCCTGCGCTGTGTGAAACTACTCGAGGAAGCCTTAGAGAGAATTCTGAGTGGTGTGCTAGTCCAAGCTTTCTCCATCCATCAAGACCCTGGCAGTCAGCGCACAGGTGGCATTTCAAAAAGCTCACGGTTTGCCTTAGCCTATTCCTTTACCTGAAGCTGAACCAAAAAGAAGAAGGAGGAGGAGGAGGAGGAGGAATGAAAAAAAGAAAGAAAGAAAGAAAGAAAGAAAGAAAGAAAGAAAGAAAGAAAGAAAGAAAAGAGAAAAACCTCTTGGGTACAGATAGAGAGCATTGCTACATTCTGGCTGCTAACCCCTGCAAGGGTGGAACCATAAATCCACACCCCTCCACCAAGGCAGTCAATGAGCATTGTCAAAACCACACATAAAACATCCCCCTCTGTACTGAGTGACTGGCTTCCCTGATTTACTATCCACTCAGTCTCCAAGTTAAATACCAACAGAAGCATACAAAAATATATTCTCTTGCAGCCCTATCTGAAAACCGCATTGCCCAAATAATGTCTGCTCATTCATCACTTACTCTTCAATTCCTGAGTGTCGCTCTCTGAAATAAACCTCTACAGCAGTGTCCCATGAATTTCACAAGCGCAGAGGAGCAGAAGCAGACTCACCAGGCTTAAGGTCTAAGCATTTTTAAAGGGAACGCATTTCCAAAATGAGACCAAGCGATTGGAACAGTTGGTGTCTGGCGGCTTCCTTTAATGGGACCTTTGGTAGCTTCCTTTAATGCAATATTTGAATCTATCTTCCTTTTATTCATGTCTCCCAGCAACAGGAGCATTGAAAGCAAATGGATAAATAGACCCAACTAAGCAGTTCTCCCTAGAAACCATTAGGAAGTGTCTATGTCTGTGCAGAATTACTTTCTGTAGGAAACCCAGGAACACAGGGTTCTGGTCCGTTGCAACTCACTGAAATGCAAGAGGTGGAAAACAATTTCCCCTGCTTCCGATGGCCAGTCCAGGAGTAAGAGCAGAAGCTACAGCGGCTTTGCATAACGAGCAGGGTTTGAATATAAGATTTGTGACTACTAGACAGATGGTGTCTTTGAGACCCTGGCTTCTCATTTATAAGGTCTGTCAGAATTCAATCTCCATTCCCATCTTTAGAACAGGATCCAGATTTCATTTAAGTATCTGTCTAGCCAGGGCTGACCGTGTCAACAGCCGACTTCATCCTCAGAAGGATCTCCATGCTTGGACTCTTAGTACCTGAACCAACAAGTTGGAGATGAAGTCTGAATTGGAGAATGGTGTCTAGATTGTATGCAGAGAGAGCATACACGGCTCGCCCAGTCCTCAGCCTCCCCACTTCCTGTGGAGTGAAATTCCCATGCACGTTTCACAGGAACCCTGCCATCAAGTTTCACACCAGCATGACTCTGGTTGAACGGAAGCTGCAGCCCTGAGAGGCTCTGCGTTTCCTAGCTGAACTAGAACTTGCCTTGAGTGCAAAAGTTGTTCTAAGAAATACATATGCCCAAGGGACCCCATCACATCTTTCCCCATTTATGCTACTTCCTTGCATTAGCCAACAGTTCATGCTGACACGACAGAAAGCCAACCCTCGGTTCTGCTGAGTTGCTCCTAGTCACAAACGGTTGGTGGAAATGTAGGGACTGCAGGCAGAAGGTATGAGTATCCAAAATGAAACAAAAGTATTTGAATTCGTTTTGTGTTTCCCTGTTTGGGAAGAATAGAACGTGCATTTATGAACAAGGTACAAATTGTGCTGCAGAAAGCAGTTCTGAAGGAAAGGGCGTGACTGCATGCGAGGCCATGAAGTAGAGACGTGACCAGGCAGAGAAGGGGTAGGCTAGAAAGTATGGCTCATACTGGTATGCTTGTCAGTTTTCCTTTACTGTAACAAGTACTTGTGATAAATCAACCTGAAGCGAGAAAAGGCTCATTTTTGCTCATAGATTAAAAACAAATCTTTGTGTATATGACGCATGTGCACACATGCATGCACGTAAATGTCTCTAAGTTCAGGCATAGAAGTCTGGGGACAATTTCAGGTACTCATCCTTGACTTCTCCCTCGGCCGGGGTAGGGTCTCTGGTTTGCCACTGCATACATCAGGTTGGCTGCTGGCCCCTGGCCTTCTGAAGATTCTGCTATCTCCACCTTCTATGTTACCCTTGGGTCACTGGTATTACAGACACACACGACTATGGTGTCTGGTTTTCCATGGGTTCTGGGCATCAAACTCAAATCTCCACACTTGTACAGCAAGCACAGTACCTCCCAAGCCATCACCTAGGCCCCGGGTCACAGTTTTGTTTTTTTGATCGATTGGCTCTGTTTCTTTGAGTCTGTAATGGGGTAGCATGTCATGGCAGAAGCACAAGAGGAGAGTTGCTCTCCTCACTGCAGTCAGAAAGCAAAAGAGGTTGAGTAGAAAATGTCTGCAGTCATACAGTCATGAGGTCATGCACTTTCTTTTCTCTTTTTTTTCTTTTTCAACAACCAACTTTATTAAGAGTTACTTTACCAATTTACATATGACACAAATCTAGGGATAAGAATCAACTGACATGTTGGGTTATTAAATCTGTTTGGTCATACACTTTCTTAGTTCTGCAAAGGTCATTTACGGAAGTGTTAGTAGCTCTTGTTTGAAATTCAACCATTTGTGTTTGAAGTTGAGCCTGTCTCTCAGAAATAGCATAAATTGGGCAAGCAGCTTTACTGTCCCGTATCTTGGCTCCCACAATTGTAAAATAAAGGTATGCACAGGACTTACTTCTGCCTCTGCCTACGTCTGCCCATATGTCTACCCCCTCAGTCCCTGTCTCTCTGTCTCTCTCTTTCTTATTGTCATCTAGAATTTGACACTGGCAAGAGATTCCTCTGTGTTGCTTTAATTGCATTGCCAGAGAGGTTTCTTTCATTTGGGGTCTTAACCATCCCAGAGACTCACATTTGGAGACCGCTTCTGCCTTGATGAACCTCTCACCCTCTGGATGCTATTGGCAATGGTTTTCAAGCCACAGAACAGATGCGCTACGGGCTCTGAACTACATGTGACTTATGTTTGCCTTTCTGAAATTTAGTCTGGCGAAGGGCATACAAAGGATCTCGGGACCAAACTCCACCTCTGCCTGGCAGTCACTGTGGTCATCTCCAATAGCCAGGCATGTGATCTGAGTCCTGGCCAACTTAGGAGTTTACTGAAGCAAAAAGCAAAACTCATCCCCAAAAAACTGTATTCATTACTTTTCTCATTGCAGTAATGATGAGCCTGGCAGAAGCAACCTAGCAGAGAAAGGGTTTGGGGGGGCTCACAGTTACAGTGTTGTGTAAATCAGGAGTAGTTGCAGCTTGGCAGCAGGAGGTTGAGGAACTGGTCACATTGTGCCCACAGTTGGGAATTAGGTGGAGGGACATCTGTGCTCAGCTTGTGTTTCTCCTTTCCACTTTTTGATTCAAGATAGCATGGCTATGGGACAGTGCTGTCCACACCCAAAGTGGCCTTTGCT